TTTTCCTCAGGAATATAAAACAATGCCATCGATGTGGGTCACACCCAACTCGCTTTGGTGGTTCACGTCCAGAAATCCTGGAGCAGGCCCTGAAGCAGCTGGCAACAGAGTTTTCTCCTTTTTCTTGTTTCTTTTTTGGTATTGGGGATTGAACCCAGGGGCGCTTAACCACAGAGCCCCATCCCCAGCCCTATTTTGTATTTTATTTAGAGACAGGGTCTCACTGAGGTGCTTAGGGCCTCGCTTTGGCTGAGGCTGGCTTTGAGATCCTCCTGCCTCAGCCTCCCGAGCCACTGGAATGACGGGCGTGGGCCACCGCGCTGCAGCGGGTTTTCCTCTTCAACATGTCACCTTCCATCCCTGGATTCTCCTCAGGGAATAGAAGAATTCCGGGTTATGATAGGGCTGGGCCTTTGCAAAAGTTGGGTAAAGAAGCTGGGCGTGGTGTGCACTCCTGTAACCCCAGGTCCCCGGGAGGTTAAGGCAGGGGATTGCAAGTTCAAGGCCAGGCTGAGCAATCTAGCAAGACCCTGTTTCAAAAAAAAAAAAAAAATGGGTAGAGTAGACATTTGAGAGTGTTTGTTATCAGAGTGCTTATTTTTGCTAAGCTTCAAAATAGTTTTAAAATACATGTATTTTTAATTTTCTTTGTGTGTGTGTGGTTCTGGGATTGAATCCAGGACCTGACGCACGCGAGGCAAGCACTGAGTTACACCTCCCCAGCCCCTAAAATATATATATTTTAAAATGAATTAGACTCATGCTTCAGAACCCCCAAAACATCTGTGCCAAATAAGGAGGCTCCAACGTACCGCTTTCCCCATGAGGAGGAGATTGGGCTCAGGGAGGAGGTGGGTGGGTGCAAGTTCTGGTCAGGGCCTGTCCTGCTGGGAGCGTGGACAGGCGCCATCCCTGGGATCCAGCGGAGCATCTCTGATGTCCCTGACCCAGCATTCCCACAGGAACCCCTCCGCCCGTGTCCCCACCGCAGCCCACCAGCCAACCAGTGGGCAGAGGAGCAGGGCGGGAATGCTGGCCAAGCTCCACAGTTGTCTTCCAGGCAGGTGGCCCCCAAAGGAAAGACTGAGGGGAGGGAGGGGCTCAGAAACCAAACTGGGCTCAAAGCTTGATTAATCACCTTCATTTGCATATGACAGTCTCCCTGGAGCCTCTAGGACTGAGAACGCTCCCCACCCCACAGCAGGGAGGGGGCAGGCTGGGCCGGGACAGAAACCCCTCTCCCTCCCGCTGCCAGGGTCTTGCCAGCATTCAGCCACAAAGATGCTGTCACAGCAATGACAGGATGACAGGCACCGAGAGGGAGAGGCACGTGGCCCTGGTGGAGCTCTGGGCGCAGCCATGGGTGCAAGGACCAGGTTCCCTGTGCGCCCACCCAGGCCTCGGTGGTGTCATCTTGGATTTGTGATGTGCCCTCCTGGAGCCTCAGTTTCCCCCATTTTAAAACCGTGGAAAACTAGCCTGGTGCAGGGGTGCACCCCTGTCATCCCAGCCTCTCGGGAGGCTGAAGTAGGAGGATCCCGAGTTCAAAGCCAGCCTTAGCAAATCAAGGCACTAAGCCAGTCAGTGAGACTCGGTCTCTAAATAGAGTATTAAAAGGGCTGGGATGAGGCTCAGGGGTCGAGTGTGCCTGGTTCAATTCCTGGTACAAAAAAAAAAATGTGGGAAACGAACTGAGACAGGGCAGTTGGGAGGCCGGTGAAGCTCGTAGAGCCGGGGACCTCCCCCAGTAACCGGGTGACTTGTTCCATTTTGTTTTTTAATGATTCACTATTAGAGCCACCTCTGGGTTGGGGACGGTCCTGACATCCTGAAGGCTCTCGTTCGGGGCGCATCCTGGCTGTTGACTGTCCCCAGTCAGGGGAAGATCAGACCCAGGCCCACGTGGCGCTTTGTGAGCCAGTAGCAGCAGAACCATGGGGGGGCGGGGCGGGGATGGGGGAGCACCTGCCTCCCCTCCTCGCCTGGGTGCTTGGTGCTTGTGGCAGAGCCTCCAGCTGGCTTCCAGAGTGACTGAAATGGATTGGCACCACCGTCACTGGGGATCCTTGGCACGGCTCCTGGGTGGCTCTCTGCCAGGCTGGCATCGCGGCGGCTGGGCTGTGCCAAGATCTTTATACGAGTCCCGTGAGCTGAGGAGAGGGGCCGCCAGGCTCCCCACACCCTTGGCCCGGGGCCTGCACACATCCTGGGGAATCCACTTCCATCCCGGTCCCAGCTCATGGGCGCCTGGACCTGGAGGGTCCCCGTGCACCATGGAGCTGCCAGTATAGTCGGGGGCTTCGAGAGGCGCCATAATCCCAGCCCAGAAGGCACGGGGGTGGGAGCTGGGCAGAGCCACGGGAGCACCGGGGAGCACGTTGAGGAGGGGCCTGGACAGGCTTCCTGGAGGAAGGGACATCTGGAATGGGTCCCAAAGGATGGGCAGGGCTGGGCAGAGACAGCTGGGGGTGGAGGGGACAGGTTGTCCTGGCAGAGGGTACGAGACTCGAGAGAAGGGAGCGGGGCGGTGCGTTTGGGGCCCAGGAAGCAGTCGTTGTCGGCCGTGAAGGGGAGGAAGGAAACCAGGGCTGCAGACGAGTTTAGGGCCACGTTCTACAAGGTCTTCAGTGACAGAGCCCTTGAGTGGGACGGCAATGGGGGGGAGCCAGAGCAGAATGTGCTGAGGAGGTCTGGGAGAGGCCAGGCCCCCGCCCTGAGATCCCGCTTGTGCCCAGACTCTGTGTGACTCGCGGGGTAAAAAGGACAGTTGGGAACAAAGATGGCGCTGAGGTGGGGACTCTTGGTACCATGAGAGAGCCCTCAGCCAGACAGGGGTTGGGCAAGGGAACTGGGGGGAACAGGAAGGATGGCAAGTTTGAGGTGCTGACGCTGGGGCAGGGATGGCTTTATCTCCTGGGGAGGAGCTGACCCCCAAGACCAACGCCCAGGCTGGTCACCATGCCCAGAGATCCGTTGCCTGGCCTCATGTGTGTCCACAGGGACAGCAAACTGCTCTAAGCGCCCCGGGACTGCCCTCCCCTCCGCCAAGCCTCCTCTTGCCTCCTTCCTGCGATTTCTGGGTTTCCTGCCCCCCTCGGGATGGGGAGGGTGGTGAGTCCATTCATTGGAAAACACCCCTCAGGCTCCCTGTGGGCAGGGGGGGCGGGGGGTGTCCTGCAGGCTTCGCCCAGGCTCTCGGTGTCCCCGCAGGACTGAAGGGCAGGCCAGGCTCTTGGACCTGCATGGACCCAACACAGACTCCAAGCCTCCCTTCACAGGGAGAGCAGAGCGCCAGGCCTGGCTCTGTCAGGCTCAGGGGCCGCCTGGACCTAGCCCTGGATCCGCCAGGGGCCCTGAGGCAGGACTGAGAGTCCCCTGAGCCCAGCAGCGCTTGACTGACAGGCCTTAGAGCAGCCTTGTCCTGCTGCCTGGGGCTTCAGGAGGCTGGCCTCGGGGCTCTCATTAGGGAAGGGTGGGAGGTGGGGCAAGGGCACTGGCTGCCTGCATGGTGGCCAGGACAACGGGTGAGCTCTGTGATGTCTGACCTCAGGCACAGAGTGACATGTGATGAGAGACCTTGACATAACCTGGCCCTGGGTGGAAGCCCCCCTCCAGCCAGGGTAGGGGACAAGACGGAAATTGATGGGACCACTCTGTGTTCAGCTCATGGCTCTGGAACAGCAGACCCTCGGGCAGTGGGGGTCGGGTTCCTGGTCTCCCTAGGGACCAGGACTCGTTGGGCAGGGATGGCAGAGAGCACAGAGCGTGAGTCTGGGAGGAGGTGCCAGCCAGGGGGTGGGCAGCCTGGTCAGGGCTTCGGGGGCGGTGGCAGCCTCGGGGGCGGTGGCAGCCCCGGGTGCTGCCCTCCCTCAGGTGGGCGGGAGCTGGCTGGGGTGGGGTTGGGGGCCACAGGCACTGAGCCCGCTGGAGGAGGGATTCTGGGGACAGGATCATTACAGGCCACCAGCCTTCCCTCAGCCCTGGGCCATTATGTGGCTACAAATCACAAAGAAGCCGCAGCGTCAGCACCTGTGGGAGCCTGATGGAATAAGGGGGCGGCGGAAAAATCCCATCAGCTACTGATCTACAGAGCCCCGCCGGATGGGGGGAGGTGGGGCGTCTCCGGAGCCCACAGACACCCCACGGCCCCCCAGCTGCAGGCCTTCTCGCCTTAGCAGGGATGTCCTGGGACCCACCGAGGGTCAGCTCCTCCTCAGCATGGAGGGAGGGTCCTGAGACCCCAGGCGGCTCTGCTTCTGGGGGGAGGGGGCGGGCGCACAGGTGGGGTCAGTCACTCCGCACTGCAGGGGTCAGAGCCAAGTCTACGAAGCCATCCCAAATCCCCTCAGGATCAGAACCCCCAGGGACCTCAGAGCTCAAGGTGGAAGGCAAAGAACAGGGGCCAGGGCAGAGCTGAGCTGACCCGGGACAGCCACAGAGGCTCAGGAGCACAGGAGAAAGGCCACTTACGAAGGGTCCCCTACCCTCTCTGTGCCTTAATTGCTGCTTCAGAAAAATGGGGGAAATAACAGGAGCCATTTCAGAGAGCAGCTGAGAGGACGGGGCCACACTGGTCCACACAGAGCCCCAGGGCAACCCCGCGGGCCCCTGCGCTCTCCGTCTGTCCCTTTGGACGTATGTAGGCTCCGAGTCAAGTCCCAGGGACCAGAGGTGTGCTTCTGAGCCCCGAGGGGCTGGCGCTGCTCCAGGGGATTCGGCAAAGGGCCGAGAAAGGCATCTGGTCCAGTCTGGAACCTGGACGCGGCTTTAGTGATCAAATCTGTGCCACCTCATGCACTGGAGGCAGTTTAGAGCGTCCCTGGCCCACCCCGGGCGCCATGAGCATCCCCAGCTTTGACAACTAAAAGCGTCTCCAGGCTTGGACAAACGTCCCCCGGGAGCTGGGCTGGCCTGGGAAGCCGGGTGCAGGTTGCGGGGACCTGGGAAGGGCCCCAGGAGGAGCCACCCAGAGAGCGCTGCTCTTCTTGCAGGGAGGAGCCATGGCGGGGCCCACCCTCCGCAGCGCCCCCCTGCTGTTCCTGGTCCTCCCCGTGCTCCTGCAGCCCAGCCTGGCAGAGTCCCTTGCACCCGGAACGCCTGCCCGGAGCCTGCCTGAGAACCTCCTGGACTTCCCTGTCCCGTGGACACCGCAGGCCAGCCACCACCGCCGCCGGGGCCCGGGCAAGAAGGAGCGGGGCCCGGGCACGCCTGGCCGGGCCCAGGAGGGGGCGGGGGGCACCACCTCCAGGCAGGCCTCTAGGCTGCCAGGGGCTGGGGGGCTGCTGCTGGACAAGGACCTGGTCCCGAGGCTGGCCGTGCCCTCCTCGGACAAGGAGCCCAGGTCCCCAGGGTGGGAGAGGGTGAAGAAACGCAGCAGGAAGCACAAGAGACGCCGGGACAGGCCGGAGCTGCACCGAGGTAGCCGAGACCTGCGCGGGGAGGGGACCTGGGGACCCGCGGGAGGGGCAGGGCCAGGGCTCAGATCCGAAGGCCCAGGCCAGGCCAGGAGGGGGAGGCCAGAGGGGCGACACTGCAGGAGTCCCTGAGAGATGAGCCAGAAGCCCCAAAGCGGGCAGGCAGTGGCACCCAGGAGAGAGGAGAGAGGCCCACTAAAGTCAGGGTCCAGTAAGAAGAGGAGGAAGGGAGAGGAGGTGGGGCGACACCGAGGGGGATAGGTAGCAATAGAGGATCAGTCTCCCCCATAGATCATCTTCTTAAGTCAGGAAGTTCTACCTTTTATTTGACCTAAATCTATTACTCCAAGTCCTGAGTAGAGATGGAATAGTTCGGCACCCTCCAAGCACACCTTTAATCCACTCTGGAATAGAGTGAGGGCCGAGAGCGCAGGCTCTGACCCCAGGTCTGTCCGAGATCAGGTCCTGGCTCCACCCTCACTAGTCTGTGGCCCTGGCCGAGTTCCTGGTCTGTGCCTCAGTTTCCTCTCTGCACAGTGAGGAGGGCGGCCCCTTCACCCCCCAGGTGGATTCAGAGCTCTGCTCTAAGAGTGCCTAGAACGCAGGTGTTGGGAGCCACCAGCAGTCACTGCTAGTCAACCTTCAGGTCCCTTAACCTGTGTCCTCCGACCTGGGCACAAGTAGCTTCCTGGCACTGTGAAAAGATGTAGGCAGAAGGTTTAGCGGCACCGAGGTGTGCCCCTGGGACCCCAGCTACTCAGGACGCTGACGCAGGGGGATGGCCCATCCCTGTCCCTCCTGCATCTGTCCTGAGTGTGGCAGGGCCTCCTCCCCCACCTTCCTTGACTTCCCCACGTTCCCTACACACAGGAGCGTCAGCCCCGGGCCCTGGGCCCAGCCTCCCCGCTGGGTACATTGGTCTCTGGACAAACCTGGCTGACAGACCAGGAGGCCCCCCTCTCCCCAGCCCTGGGCCCCCACAGGCAAGCTCAGCTTCCAGGTCTCTAAGTGACAGACTGTCTCTAGGGGACACTGCCTCTGCGTGCCACAGACGGGAAGGGGTGGGAGGTCTTAGGAAGGAAGGCAGGGAGCCGGGGCTCCGCTGCAGCCAGCGGGGCTCTCTGCCCTGCCAGGCCTCCTGAGCCCCCCAGGACACAGAACCCAAACAAGTACCCCAGCCTGACTTTCCGCCCCCTTCCCCAGCGGTCACCTGCGTGAGGCTGCAAAAGTGAATGGTTCCCAAGACCCCATCTACTCCCGAGCTTCATTTCTTCAGGGTGGGGGGGACCCCAATGGACCCAGCTGAACTCACCGCCAAGTCTTGCCTCAGCAAAAGAGGCAAGGACAAAGCCCGGCCCTCCAGCCTCTCTTCAGGTCCTACCATCGATGAGCCCCCTGTGGCCCTGCACTCTCGCCCTCCCACTCAAACCACCCCACATCCGTGGGGCTTGGCAGGTGATATCAGTGTTAAATGCATTGACTTTGCACTCAGATGAGCCTGGGTTCAAGGCTACTAATGAGCTGTGAGTCCTTAGGCAAGTTACCTAACATCTCTGTGCTTCAATTTCCACCTCTATAAATAGGGCTGTAGGAGCACCCACATCCCAGAGCTGCTGCAATGGTTAGATGAACTATGAACTAGTACTTCTGAAGTGGCTCCTCTGGGATCCAGGAGAGTAGGTGCTCAATAAATAGGGTGGTGACTAATTTCAGCACATAGGAAGCACCAAGTGTGTGGCAGGCTGCGGTGCTCACCTCCCAGCCTTCCCAAAGGCCTCCATGGTGAATCCCACCATGCCCCCGCCCCGCCCTCACCCCTGCCCCACTGAGCTCCCCTGGGGGCATGCTGCCCGATGGTGGCTGAACCAGGGCTGTCCCTTGGTCCCTGCCGCCCCTGGTTTGCAGCAGAAGAGGTAGGTTGTACCGTCTGCTGACCCAGGTGGCGGCAGGTAAAGCCCTCTGCCTCTGCCCTGGGTCCCAGGCCGCGCCTTGGTCCAAGGCCCCAGCTCCCTGAGGAGGAGGACGGATCTCTCTGAAGACCCCTCCCTGGCTGCTGCCCCCGAGGAGTCCTCCACCAGCCTGGCGCCCACCATGGTCTTCCTAACCACCCTGGAGGCAGCACCTGCCACCGAAGAGTCCCTCATCCTGCCTGTCACCTCGCTGAGGCCCCAGGTAAGGTGCCCAAGACCCTGGAGCTGGAACTTCAGATCTTGTCACGGGAACCCCTCTCAGTACATGAAGGGGCACCGAGGCCTGGCAGGAGGGTGCTGGGGGGCCCCAGGCCCAGGTGGACACCTGGTCTCCAGATGCCAGTGCAGTCCAGCCCCGGCCCAGCCGCCCCTCCATCCCGGGGAAGGGCATGCCTGCCAGGTGGGCTTGGGGCCATCTGGGGAAGGAAGCAGTGCAGCCTAGCACACTAGCCTCTGTGCACAGAGCGGCCAGGCCCTTAGGAAAGAGCTTTAGAGTCCAGAAGAGGACAGAGAACAGTCACAATAGCTGTGAACACCGTGTCCTCTGACCGGTACCAACTAGCAAGGCCGCAGTTCCACCCACCTCTTCCCGACTCTTTGTGTTTTTGTTGTTTGTTTGGCTGGGTTTTTGTTTGGTTTTGTTTGGTACCAGGGATAGAACTCAGGGGCACTCGACCACAGAGCCCCATTCCCAGTCCTATTTTATATTTTATTTAGAGACAGGGTCTCACTGAGTTGCTTAGTGCCTCACGGTTGCTGAGGCTGGCTTTGAACTCGCAATCCTCCAGCCTCAGCCTCCTGAGCTGCTGGGATTATAGGTGTGCACCACCGCGCCCAGCTCTTTCTGATTCTTGAGAAAGACAGGAAACCAAACCAGAAAACACAGTAAAAGTGCCACCCAGTGGCAATACCAGGAGGGCATGTAGGAGTGAACCCAGCCACTCTTGTCCTCTATGGTAGCTTTGAGTTTTTTTTTTTTTTAGATAAAACTATTTGAAAGGATCCATAATATACATAATTTATTTTATATATTGTATAAGAAATAGTGAATAAAAGTAGATATTTTGTCAGTACAGTCATTCCCCCTTATTGTAGTCTACTTTCTACAATTTCAATCCATCATAGTCCAAGAACATTAATAGAAAATTCCAGAAATAAATAATTCATAGGGTTTTTTTTGGGGGGGGCCTGGGGATTGAACCCAGGGGTGCTTTACCTCTGAACTACATCCCCAGACTTTATTTATTTATTTATTTATTTTTAGATAGGGTCTCCCTAATTGCTAAGGATCTTGCTAAATTGCTAAGGCTGGCCTTGAACTTGTGATCCTCCTGCCTTACCCTCTGAGTCTCTGGGATTACAGGTGTGCACCACTGTGCCCAACTCAATTCATAGGTTTTGCTGTCTGGAGTAGCAAGATGAAATCTCACTTAGTCTCCTCCAAGACGTGAATCGTTCCCTTATCAGATACACCGTGTCCATGCTGTATATGCTACCTCCCCGTTAGTGTCTTTACATCTGTCTACTAGTTAGCATCAGATTGATCGTAGTGGTACAGCAGTCCCTGTGTTCGAGTTACTCTTAGTTTACTTAATAATGGCCCCAAAGCACAAGAACAGGGCTGCTGGCAATTCAGAGATGATGAATACAAGCTGTAAAGCACTTCATTCAGTATCCTCTCGCCTGTCACACAAAGGAAGAGTGTGCCGTGCAGTAAGATATTTTGAGAGAGAAAGAAAAGCCATATAATTTCAGTATAGTATATCGCTATGATTGTTTCATTACTAGTTGTCGTTGATGTCCACCTGTGCCCAGTCTACAAATCACAGTCCACCACTGGCGGGTAGGCACAGGAAGAGCTCTGTACAGGCTTCAGCATTACCAGGGTGGCCTTGGAATGGGTCTGCTATGATCGAAGAGGGACTTAGATTTTTCTTGTCCTCTTTTGGGTCCTGTACCTTCTGATATTCTGAAGAAAGCTAGGGAGTCCATGGTTAGCTATGTCATTGGAGGTCCCTTGAAGACCACCAGTTGAGAACCCAGCTCTGGAAATACAGTTATTGCCTGAGTCCTACTGTGTGCAGTGACCCTGTGCAGAGTCAGTCATAGTCTCTGGTCTTCAGTAGTTTTGAGGACAGTAATGGGAGCTTTGAGTGGGACAGAGTCCTCGTCCCTGGCCACCACAGTGCCTCAGGGAGCTGAGGAGAGGAAAGGACAGAGAAGGGAGCGGCTGGACTTCTTCACGCCGGGCACAGGGGCACACGCCTGTAATCCCAGCGGCTCGGGAGGCAGGAGGATCGCAAGTTCAAAGCCAGCCTCAGCAAAAGCGAGGTGCTAAGCAACTCAGTGAGACCCCATCTCTAAATAAAATACAAAACAGGGCTGGGGATGGGGCTCAGTGGTCGAGTGCCCCTGAGTTCAATCCCTGGCACCCCCAAAAGAAAGAGAAAGAAAGACCCCTGAGCAAGCAGGAGCTCCTTCAGCCCAGCCGGGGTCAGCGCCCTGCTCAAAGGGCCCCGTGGGCAGCTCACCCAGCTGCTGAGCAGGAGCCCCGGACAGCTGCCCTGGTGTCCTCGGCTGGGAGTCGGGCTGCCCAGCTGCCCAGCAGAAGTGGCCTCTGCGTAGCCTCTCCTTTGTCCTCTGGCTTCGAGACCCCACATTCCTGCCCTATCTGTGGGGAGCTTTAGGGTCCCCTCCATCCGTCTTCTATAGTCACAGCCCAGGTCTGACGGGGAGGTGATGCCCACGCTGGACATGGCCTTGTTCGACTGGACAGATTATGAAGACTTAAAACCCGAAGTCTGGCCCTCTACCAAGAAGAAAGGTATGGTCGCCTTCCGCACCCTGCGCCAGGCCCGGGCTCCCCTCCACCGCCACCTGCTGGGTCAGTGAGCCCCGTCTGATCTGCTGATGTGCAACGTGGGTGGTGGGTGGTGGGTGGATCTGCCTAAGCCTTAGCTGACCGAGATGGAGAATTCCGGTAAGTGTCCCTACATGCCAAATGCTGCCCGGGTGTCAGCGGGAGGGGAGGGTGACCCGTGGGGTCCGAACTACTGTTGGCCCAGTTTAGAGAAGAAACACCGAGGCACAGAGAGGATGGCTCTTGTCCGAGCCACCCCGCAGGGGCAGCGGCACAGCACAGTGACTCCTGCCTTTTCTGCTCTTTTGGGGCCTCAGCTTCTGACACCCTGCCTCTGTGTTCCCAGAGAAGCACTGGGGTCTGTCCAGAGACAGCAATGGAACATCGCCAGCCCAAGGGCAGCCCTGTGACCATCACCAGGACTGCCTGCCAGGTACCCCGGGGTCCAGGCTCTGGGCTGGGAGGAAACCAGGTGGTCCAGGGGTTCCCAGGCACACGAGCAAGGTCAGAGGCTCCCTGTCCCTTTGCAGACGATAAATAATGTCAACGAAAGCCACCAATGTCCGTCTGAAGAGTCTCTATCATACGTCAATTCATCTAACCCTTTACTCACTGCAACCCAAAGAGAGGGTCACTGTCCTCCTCAGATTTCCAGCGAGGCAGCTGGGCCTCAGAGAGGCTGTGTCTGGCCTAAGGTTACACAGGTGGAGGCCATCAGTCATTGCCACTGAACCCAATTGCCTGGGGAGAGCCTGGAGGGGCGCACCTCTGGACAGTTCCACCAGTGGCCAGGGTATTCTGCAAAACAGCGACCAAACCAGCCGCTGGGCATGGTGCCAGGCCACCACGCCCTCACAGCCCGCTTCCTCCCCAAGCCACTGTTTGCTCTTGGGCACAAAGACAGGCCCCAGCTTGTGCCTGTCCCCTGGGCAATCCTGGGCAGCTGGCTGCAGACCAGGTCTTGGCCTGTCTGGGGCGATCCCCCAGACACCTGGGGCTTCGGTCTCCCAGTCTGGTTGTCAGTGGTCCCCGAGGCCCCTCACTGCTCAGAGCTGACTCCACACCGGCCACCCCCAGCTGTTCCCCCCACTCTCCTGGGGAGGTGACCCCACACCACCTTCCCGCTTCCCATAATCAATCAGGCGCCCATGGGGGCAGCTGGGGTCTCTGCCCTCCACCTCCAGGGACCTCAGCCTTGACGTCCATCGGTGGTTCCAGCCGGGCAGCCCTGTGCACCAGATGGCCCACACTGCCGGGGCACGGTCTGCCACCGTGATGATGGATGTCCCGTCCAGGGGGACTGTGAGCTGGGCAGCCGGGAGGGGCTGCTCTGCCCGGCTGACCGCGTGCTCTTGCTGTGTGGCAGGGACCTGCTGTGACCTGCGGGAGCATCTCTGCACCCCCCACAACCGCGGCCTCAACAACAAATGCTTTGACGACTGCATGTGTGTGGAAGGTGAGTCCCGTCCTCGTCACAGGCCTCCTTCCCAAGGCTGGTCTGCAGTGAGCAGGCAAGATGTCCTGGCCACGGCGGGCAGGAGCAAGAACAGACGTGAGCTGCGCACGTGAGCCGCCCGTCTACGAGCTCGCTGAGTCTGGGTTCCCCGGGGGGTGGGGGTGGGGGTTCCCAGGTCTGCTTCCTCACCTCCTGAAATGGCTGGCTGCTGTCCACATCAGGGGCCGGAGGAGGAGGAGACCCAACAGTCCTCTCCCGGGGAGGCCTCCCCATAGATAACCAGGTTGGGTGGGTTTCCCCACACCTGTCCAGGGAAGGATGCCGGGTTCATCCCTCCAGGCTCCCACCTCTCCCGTGCACACACACCCAGGAGACCAGGTTCTGTGCTTTCTCTCCAGAGATCCTCACAACCAGCCCCAGAGGGGAGCAGCTGTCACGTTCCCCACTTCACAAAAAAAGCCCTTCTCCAAACTTACACATTTCGAAGAGTAGGGGAGGGCTGGGGAGGCAGCCCAGCTAGAGCATTTGCCCAGCATGTGCAAAGCCCTGGCTTCCATCTCCAGCACAGCTGAAAGTAAAAAGAAGGAAAAAAACAGTACTTCCAATTTGTTATTCTGAAATTTTTCAAGTATATACTAAAGTAGCCAGAATCTTAGCATGAACCCCCATTTCCCTTCTCTGGGCTTCAATAATTACTAACTTACAGCGATCTGTGCTGTCTCTCCCCAACCTACTTCCCTGGTCCAATATGATTTTGAAGCAACTCATGAAAGCATACAGATATTTCAGAAATATTTTGGTACATATCCCAAAAGGATAAGAACCCTCATGCCCAGTGCTGTGTGCACACCTGTAATTCCTGCCATTTGGGAGGCTGAGGCAGGAGGATTACAATTTTGAGGCGAGCCTCAGCAACTTAATGAGGCTCTAAGCAACTTAGGGAGACCCTGTCTCAAAAGTAAGTAAGTAAATAAATAAATAAATGGATGGATGGGGATGTAACTCAGTGGTTCAATTCCCAGTACCAGAGGGCAGGGGCAGGAGATAAATACCCTCTTAAAACCAAAATACCACAATTGAACAATAATTTCCCAATACCATTTAATATCCAATCTGCATTGCCCCCTCTTATGTGGGAGAATTTGGACTCAGTCCCTCTATGAACCTGAGATACCTGAGCCCAATTTTGCTCACGTTATCTTAAAAAAATTATCTGCTGGGGAAGCGATAAAGCTATTGGGTTCTGACCATTCATGTGGTCAGGTGAGAAGTCGATTTGAGCACCTCCTGGGTGTCAGATGCTGGACCCTGCAGATCTGGCAGGGAAAGAACCCGCAGAGTCTGTGCCCATGGATTAGCTCGCAGACAGAAAGCCAATCCACAGATAAGACGTCTTTGGAAAGTCGGAGGCTGTGGAGAAAAGGGCCCAGAGAAGGGGTTCCCAGAGCCCCGTGCGCTCAGTCCTGGAGCGGCGCCAGGTAGTGCAGCCAGCTGCCCAAAAGTGGGGGAGCGGGAGGACAGTTCCAGGCAAGGGATAGAGCGTAAGGAAAGGAACGGCTTGGTGTGTCACATGGTGACCCTGGCGAAGGTGGCAAAGGGAGGGGAGAGAAGCTTCCAGAAGGATCACCCAGGACCTTGACCTTGTTTGGATCTTGTTTTGTTTGTAATTTGGAAGTTACGGGCAGGTTTTAGCTCGGGGTGTATGCTGGTCTGACCTCTGAGATTGAGACCAATGTGAGCACTCAGGGCCCCTCACCGGGGCTGGGCTAGACCAGCGACCAAGGACAATGATGCCTTAGGGTCCGGCCTGGAGGCATTGAGTGCTGGGTGGGCGGTGGGTTTGTTGTTGTTGTTTTTTACTGGGGATTGAACCCAGGGGCACTTAACCACTGAGCCACATCCCCAGCCCTTGTTATTTTTTATTTAGAAATGGTCTCACTGGTTTGCTTAGAGCCTTGCTACATTATTGAGGCTGTTGTTGAACTTGCAATCCTCTGCTTCAGCCTTCTAAGCCACTGGGATTACAGGTGTAGGTAACCACACCTGGGCCAGGAGGGTGGGAGGTGAAGGCATCCCACAGGTGGGCAGGGTCCAGGTCCTGGAGGACCTTATAAGCCAACATATGAAGCCTAGATTTCATTTTAGGTACAGTGGAAGCCACGGGAGAATTTATAGGCAAGTACAGTGCAGACTTAGCATGAGAGAGGCCCTGGGTTCGATCCCTAGACTGTGTGTGTGTGTGTGTGTATAGATTTTTTAAGTATATATTTTTAAATAAAATTTTTCTCCCAATTTTTAAATTGTCACCTTTATTTTTAGAGCAGTTGTAGGTTTACGGAAAAATCGCAGGGTGTGTAAGAGTTCTCCTAAACCCTTTTCTCCCCTGCATGCAATTTTCCCTAACAGCATTTTGTGTGGCGTGGTACATTTCTTACAATGGATAAACCAGGACGCTTAGGTTATTATTAGAGCCCACAGTTTACTTGAGGGCCATTGTATGGTACAATCTGTGGGCTTTGCCCAACGCATGACATGTATCCACCATTATGGTGTGGGGGGAGTATGTTCACCGCCTTAATCATCCCCTGTGCTCCATCATCTGTTAATCCCCCACCCACACTCCCACCCCCCTGAAGCTGGATCTCCCTCTTTTGTTTTGTTCTGTTCTGTTTTCTGCCATGCTGGGGAGGGAACCCAGGGGCAGCAGTGCTCTGTCACTGATCTACACCTCCAGCCCTGGGGGGTGGGGGGGTGTACCAGGGACTGAACTCAGGGCATTTGACCACTGGGCCACATCTCCAGCCCTATTCTGTATTTTTTATTTAGAGACAGGGTCTCGCTGAGTTGCTTTGCGCCTCGCGTTTGCTGAGGCTGGCCTTGAACTCGCCATCCTCCTGCCTCAGCCTCCTGAGCTGCTGGGATTACAGGTGGTGAGCCACCCTGCCCTGCTCCCAAGTCTCTCTTTGAAGCTCATGCAGGCGCAGTGCGGATGGGCTGCAGGGCCGAAGAAGAAGGAAGGAGAGATCAGGGGTGCAGGGCCAAGCAGGGGAGGGGACAGGTGGGTCCGAGGCCTGACCTTTGCCTTCCTTCGCGCAGGGCTGCGCTGCTACGCCAAATTCCACCGGAACCGCAAGGTCACACGGAGGAAGGGGCGCTGCGTGGAGCCCGAGACCGCCAACGGCGACCAGGGATCCTTCATCAATGTCTAGCGGCCTGAGGGAGGCGCCTCCCCAGTGGCCAGGGGACGGAGTCCGGAGGTTTGGAGAAGCCGGGCAATTTGTAACTAGCAGTGCAACATCAAGTGGGGGACCAGATGGCGAAGGCTGCAGTTGCAGGCTCAGGACACTCAGCCCCAGAGGGGATCGCTGGGCCCCCTAGCTGCCCCCTCCCAGGTGACAAACCGCGGGCCATCTGCACCTGCCCAGCCCACCCACGCGACCTGCACCTGCCCAGCCCACCCACGCGGCCGCTCAGCCCGCGCATCCGGCTCTCCGCGATGGCCACGTCGAGAGTGCCCTCTACTGTCCGTCAGCAGCACTGCAGGCGCCTCGAGTTCACACCGAGGTTTTGGAGAGTGAAACAGACCTAGGACTCCCCAGGCTGGAGATGAAGCTGGAACTCTCTTCCGTACCAGGCACGGTGCTAAGGGCTCCGTATGCGTTATCTCTTGGAATTATCACCATGACCTTGTGAAGCCTGCAAGGTCAGCATCCTGTAGGTGAGGACACCGAGGCTCGCTTGATTTACTTGGCTTGTCCAGGGTCTCAGATCAATGATCCTCAAGCCTTAAAGTAGGTAAGAGCCGCCGGGGTCTAGTTGAAAAGCACATTCCAGTTCAGTAGATGGCGTTGGGAGGGAAGGCTCTGAACTGGGCCTGAGCTATCAAGCTCCAAGGCCCAAGTTCTTGCCCCTTCACAACCTAGAACTTAGTCCAGGTTCTCCCCGGCTTTCTGCAAGAGAGATGCGCTCCCTGGGAATTCCTTTCTCTGTGGCTGGAACAACTTGTCTGTTCTCCACCTTCCCGGGACACAGGTGGATTACCTTTAAAAGCAAGATGACATGGACAGTAAGCATCGGCCTGTGTGTGAGGATGGCTCTGGGCAAATTGGCCCCACATCTGGTGTTGATGTTCTGAGACATGAAGTGTGCATGGGGACAATCACGTTGCTCTGAAGTCCCTGTGGTCTTACTCCTCAGCATGTGGCACGCACTTCCAAGGTGTCCTGAGAGCCTCTACCCCAGCGGTTCTGAAGCAAGCATGGTGACACACGGGCACCGGTCATCTGTGTACACCCACCCTGCACACTGTTTAGTGATCCCCAGGTCACCCTGGAGACCATCCCTGGGCCCTACCCCATACTTCTGCAGCAGACCCCATTGGAAGGTGAAGGTACCTCTGAGATTGGGGTGCTCCCCAAAGGACCCCAACAGGCGAGGCCCAAGATGCCCACCAGCAGATCTGCCTCTAGGGTGGAGACATCCATTTAAATCCCCCCACCTGGCATGTCACTCCTGGCCAACTGTCTGGCCCAGGGCAAATCAGGTTGCACATGACCACACTGTTGGCCATTCAAACCCCTCCCTGGCCTGGACCATGGCCCTAGGGTGCCAAGGGCTGTTTACCACTTTGGGAAAATCAGTTGAGGTCAAGGGTTAGGCACCAAGGAAAGCAGGCAGATCTAGAAGAAATCAAATATGCCTGTTCTCCTCTCCCTCTTCAAGGTTGATAGGCATGGGAATCCTGGGGGCAGAAGGGAGGGCGGGGGAACATAGTTCCTAATCATAGTTCTGGGAGACTCTTGTTAGTCCTTCTGGTCTCGGTGACTCATCGCATACTCAGAGGTGATTCCTGCCACCATGCAGACTTCAAAGTGCGTTCATAGAATGCTGAGCCGTGTGATGCACTGTTAGAAAAAAGGGGTGGGGTTCCAGGATCAAAGTGTGGAAGATTGTTCTAGACACAACCCTGAGCAGCAGGCACGATTCCAGGAGCTGTGGCAGAGCTGGAGGAGCAAGTGACTTTTCCCAAGTGTAAAATTGTTCCGTGGGGAGAGCTGAGCAGGGACCAGGAGGAAGCCGATAGCTTCTGGGACCACCACCTGAGCCCACCTGCGGATCCTCCAGCCGAAACCTCGACACCATTCCCAGAGACCAAGATCCCCTCCACGACCAGGGGCTGCCTTTCTGTGCTTGGTCTGGTGACTCCAAGGGTGGTTTCTGTGCCTGCCGGGAGTGAGCTGAGGGTCTGATGACATGAGAGACAATCCTCCTGGGAAAGTGACAGCTTCATTTGCTCCTCGAAAAGTGACTGAGTCATAAGTCAAATCCCAAAGCCACAACCCCTTCTACCACTGAGATGCCAGCAGGTGGATCCTTCCAAGAAGCCAGAACCCACTGACAGGGACACAGTGGGGCCGTGGCCTCACGATGAGGTTCAACTTTGCAGCTGGTTACACTAGACATTGAGGTCACCTGCAAGGAACACGTTTAGAAACAACTGGAGCAGCCCAGAAAGTGAGCCACCGAGGACTTCCCAGGGCCGGGCTGGACACCATCCCGCCAAGATCAAGTCATGCTCACAGTCATGCAGTAGCCAGTGTGTGCATGTGCCCGGGAGGCTGCGGGCAGGGGTGGGCCGTTGCAGAACCAGGGGTTTCTATTTCAGGGAGTCCGTTTTCTGGATTCTAAGGCGGAACAGGTGATCTGATGCAGGATTCCTGGGGCCACTTCTGGCTGCGAGAGGCTGTCTAGTCCTCACCCCTCACCATGTGGCCTAGGCCTGCCATATCACCCAGGAGCCTGGTGGAAGCACAGAACCTCAGGCCCCACCCCTTCTACCTACTGAACCCGAATCTTGGTATGTGTGTCCGGGTGACCCAGCCACCTGGCTTTTAACAAGTTCTCCAGGTCATTCTTGTGCACCATGAAGTTTGAGAGTCCCAGGTCTGCGATGCAGGATGGAAAACAGAGATGTGGGATGGCTGGGGACATTGGGATGACTCAGGGCATTGGTATTCAAACGTGTTCTCAGAAAACTGAGATCCCGCTTGCTATACTGCTCAGCCTTGCAGCTCTGAGGCCCCGCCTCCGGGGCTGGCACTGGTCCTGTGTTTAGAGGAAAATGGGTGGGGCACCTGGGCTTAGGACCCTCAGTCATAGGGTTTTCTGACTTAGGGAATTTCCCGGGGAGGGGTTGTGGCTCCTCCTGAAGGTGTGGGAGCAGTGGGGGGGCTGCACTCTTGCAGACCTAGGACGTCATGTTGCATGTGTGCTGTGAGCTGTAAATAAAGGGATGGTGGCTGAGCTGCCTGGCCTCCTTCTGTTCCTCCAGCAGATGGTCTGTCTGGGATGACAGAGCATCGCCAGGGCCCTTGAAGGGACCCGAAGCCCAGTGTTTCCCCTGCCACTTCCCGTCCCTCACTCCACACATTTGACTGAGCATGGGCTCAGAGCAGGCAGCAAGCAAGGCGGACCCTTCCCCTGGGCCTCGGCATGGCCCCTTATCTGGACCTCCTGGGCAAGTCTCGTGTTTTATCTCCCTACCCATTGTACCCATCGTAGGGTTGGGGCTGCTGAGGCCCCAAACAGTTTACAAGGCTGGTCACAGCCGCAAGGCCTCCAGAGGCTCCGTTCTGGGCCTGGGTGGCCAGTGCAGGGTCAGCAGGGTGAGGAAGAAGAGCACAGCCTCAAAGCCAGGCTGGCGTGGGCTCAGGTGCCATCTGGGGGAAGTGTGTGAACTGGCCAGCGGGAGCCCTGGCTTAGTACCAGGGAGGACACTGTGCAGACCAGGCTGTCAGAGGCCTAGCTCATCAGAGGAGGCTGTGTGACGGCTCCTGGTGGCACCGTGTCCCTGCCTCCTAAAGCCCCAGACACACCTATGGCTGGTTAACCCTGGACAGGGACCCTCCACCTAGGGACCTACAGAGATCTCCGCACCCAGCCTAGATGGGGAAAGCAGGTCTCCTCGAATCAGCATTCCCTAAAGATGGGGCCTTAGCTAGGCAGCAGGAGAGTCCTCTGGGGAGCAGACCCAGGCTTCTGAGCCCCACCTGGACCTGATGGGCTCAGGACTCTGCCTATCAAGTAACTCCAGGCTGAGGACTGCCACCCCAGACCTTCCTGAGAACTCACTGTCCCCAGGTGGCTGCTCAGGCCCCAGGTGGCCTAACAAGCTGCTGCCAAGGATGGTTCTGAAGAATCAAGGCCAGAATTTCTCCTTCCTGTGGGTCTTCCAAATCACACCCTTCCTGCCCTGACCCCCATCTCAGGGCAGAGGTAACACACAAATGCAGGACTGCCAACGCGGGAGCGCAGCTCAGGAAACCTTATCTACACAGAGGGGCAGCAGGCCGGACTTGGCTCTTCGGTTGTAATTTGCTGACCCCTCACCTATACTGCTGACCTGGGTCAACAGCTGCAGAAAGGCACACTGGGCTTTGAAAGCCCCTTCTGTCCTGGGCTGTCAACTTGAACCCATTTCTGCTAATACAGGTTAGAGAGTGCTGAGATATAAAGGGTCAAGTCCTGTCAAACGCAAGGCCACAGGGATGTCAGCTCTGTGCTGGCAGCCTGCCCGCCGCCTTCGGGGGGTCAGATGGCTACACTGGGGTGGATCAGTCATGGTTCTTCAGAGGAAAAGGCCAATAGGAAATTTATATTTATGTATCTTAAATTAACTATGTATATATGCACATACATATAAATATGTTAACGTGTGATATATACACATATATGGTGGATTTATTTTAAGGAACTGGCTCCATGATTGTAGGGGCTAGCAAGTCTGTAGTCTGTAGAGCAAGCTGGCGGGCCAGAGACTCAGGCAGAGTTGATATTGCAGACTTGAGGCCGGATCTCATTTCCAAGTCCTCGGGGGTTTTTTTTGGTACTGGGGATTGAACCCGGGGGTGTTTAGCCACTGAGCCACATCCCCAGCCCTTTGTTGTATTTTATTTAGAGACAGGGTCTGACTGAGTTGCTTGGGACCTCACAGAGTCGCTGAGGCTGGCTTTGACCTCATGATCCTCCTGCCTCAGCCTCCCGAGCTGCTGGAATTACAGGAGCCATTTTTGTTCTAAAGGCCTTCAACACAGAAAACTGGCCATCCGGAGGCTTCAGGGGCACAGTGCCCTAAACCCTGGATCACAGAACCAAGGCACACAGCAGATTGGTCTTTGTGGGCTATGAAACTCTGGACAGAATCTCCATT